TCTCTTTCTTGGTTCAGACTCCTAGTCCTTCTGATCTTTCTCCCCTCCTCTGTACTTTACCCAACTGCATGCACACACTTTTATAGATAGTCCCTTGCTCTGACTCCACACCTCCACTTTTCCTAGATTCTTTCTGCCTCTGCACTATTCTCTGAAAGATGACGGCTCTTCCTTTGCAACCAACCCGTGTTTGTCTCATGTCAAATTTCCTGCTAAAGGGCGCTTGCTTCTCCTACCCTGTGCCTGAGTAACCTAAATTGTGGCTTCCTCCTCTTTATTTCTTCCTCTCTTCATTCTATTCCTCCCTGAACGCTCCTCTCCATGTGATCCTCAGGTTCACTCTGGAGTGCTGTTCTCCTGACGCTGTCACACTGTTCCTCACACTCTGCCTCTCCTCTTCCATCTTACCTACTATACATCTTTACCACAGCCCCTCCCCCCATCCATGACATCTGTACTTCTCCTATGCTCTTCCTTCAGAAAAGCTTTAAATGCTGCACTTTTGCTCATTTCACATCCCAGAAATTTTTCCCTATGAAAAGCTAAAATTCTAGGTCCCTTTCTCCTTACTTTCTTTCTTGTTTATATTTAACAAATTATTCTCTGTTTTACTTCTACCTAGACCCCTTTGAGTTCCAGATCATAGCAGGCTGTGAGCTGCATCCTGGGGGTGACATAGTAAGCTTCTTTAGGGGAGCTTTTAGAGGACTGGATCTCCTGAGCATCAAATATTACTCATGTGTGCCTTCCCCAGAAGGCGGAATCACAGCACAGCAAGTCTGCACACTACTCAATCAAGGTATCATCGATATTATAACGAAGCTCCTCTATGAAACCTGCCCCCGCTATCTCTTGGGTGTCCTTGATGCAGGGAAGGCGGATCTGCAGAGGCAAGGTTAGCCCTGTTCTTTATTTCACTTTCCACCACCTCCTTTAAACCCAAAAGTGGCAAGATACCCTAAAAGTAGAGGGGCTTACTCAGTAAGTTATTTGCTTCCCAAAGAAGTGGAATAGGTCACTGTCCAAGCTTGTGTATTTCTGAGTTTCTATGCTCTGTATTACAGTGCAAATCTGACATTCTCTCTGTCCCTTCCTGCCCCAGTGAAGCCCAAGGCCTGGCTGTCCAGTGGCCCCACTCCTGGTCCTGGCCATCTGCTGCTGGTGTGCCATGTCATAGGATTCTATCCAAAGCCCGTGTGGGTGATGTGGATGCGGGGTGAGAAGGAGCAGGCAGGCACTCAGCGAGGTGACCTCCTGCCCAATGCTGATGGGACATGGTATCTCCGAGTAACTCTGGATGTGGCAGCTGGGGAGGCAGCTGGCCTGTCATGCCGGGTGAAGCATAGCAGTCTAGGAGGCCAGGACATCGTCCTCTACTGGGGTGAGAAGGAACCGGGACCCAGGCAGCAAATGGGAGCAGGAGGTCCTCCAGCATAGAAGGAGGGACTGGAGAAGGGTGGGGTATGAGAGAGAGAGAGAGAGAGAGAGAGAGAGAGAGAGAGAGAGACTTCTGTGATACCTGTCCTAGCAAATTAAAAAAAAAATGATACAAAGTATAGAAGAGCTAAGAATGAAGGACCTATAGATTGGATGGGAAGGGACAGGAGAGCAAGACAAAGGATGGATAGATGGTATCTGGGAATATGAGAGAGGGAATTGGAGATGACTCTACATTGGAAGCACATGAATTGTGCTGACACACAGCTGGGCAAAGGAAGGCCAGGGGAATCAGAGGATGAGACTTAAAGTGACATCCTTGTATCCTCCCCAAATTGCCAGGACACCGCACCTCCATTGGCTTGATGTTTTTGGCAGTAATGGTGCCTTCTTTGATCCTTTTGCTGTGCTATGCATTATGGTTTGTGAGGCACTGGTGAGTTTTTATTTTTATTTTTTTAATCTTTCTTTTTTGTCCACCCTTCCACTCCTTCCCACCATTTTGCCTGTTTCCATCACTTTAGCCTCAATCTTTCCACCACA